CTCAAGCAAGTGGTGGCTCACACGATTAGCCCCTCTCGTGAGAATTTCGGCCTCGTCGAATTCGAATGTGTGGCCGGGTCTCGTCGAATGAGCTGCAACTTTAGAGCTGGCGTCATTTCTCCGCACTGTTGCAGCATGTTCGGCCATTCGCGTTCGGAGTTGTCTTCCAGCTCCTCCGGCGTGTTTGATTTATCCGCAACTGCACCAGATCCGATAAACGACTCCAGAAGTTTCTTGCCGTGACAGAGGGTCTTTCGGTTTCATGATCTGACGCCTGAGGGTTGCCCTCGGTTTGTGTGCAATTGCAACCCCAAGTGGTGCGAGAAGGCGGCCGACAGCCTCTGAGACGTTCTTCACATACGGAAGCGCTCGCAAAAATTTGGTGTCCTTGCGGTTAGGCCTTTCATCCCTTTTGCGTATGCACCGGTGGACGAAGTTTCGCGGTCAACCATTTTCTCTGAAAACCCGTCGAAGATATGGGACTTCGGCAAACTTGTCATCCGATTCGATGCAGTGCGTTTGAACACGCCGATATCGCCTCCCTACACAACTGCATTTGTGGCTGATTGGGAAGTTCGCGTTCTTCGCTTTCCTAAACACTTTGGCCTTTAGGTCGCCACAATCTTTGTGGCAGGTGAGGACATCAAGGGAGGCCAGCTGGTTGTTCTCTTCCTCCTCCATCGTAAATTTTATGTCCGGGAAAACGTTGTTGAGACGTTATTTCAACGTTATTACATGATCCCCTTCGATGACTACGAAGGTATTGTCCACATACCGAGTCCAGAATTTCCGCCTGTGGTGTTGGAAGACCAGCGACTCTAACCGTTGTAGGACCGCCTCGGTAATGAATCCCGAAATCTGCGAACCCATTGGCGTGCCATTCGCCTGTTCTTAGATTGTCCCGTCGAAAGTGAAATACGTCCTAAGGCAGAACTTTCGGAGTTGAAGGACCTGGGCATGTCCGAGAAGATCCTCCGTTTCATAGTATTTGCCTTATAGGGGTAGCTCGACGGTCTCGACTGCCAGATCCCGGGAGATAAAAGTACAGAGTGACGTGACATCGAAAGATACCCTGACCTCATTTGGCAAGAGACTTATCCCTTTGAGCTCCACCAGCAATTGTGGTGACGAACAGACAGTGGTTTCCGAATCAGCTGTCAGGAACTTGAGACGCCGAAACAACCGTTTTGCCAGTCCGCACGTTGGAGTGCCTTTGAGCCATGCAGTGGGCCGGGGAGGAGCGCCCTCCTTGTGCACTTTTTATGGTCTCCCCAAGGTTCGGCCGAAATTCTCGCAAGAGGTGACAACCGCGTGAGCTGCGAGTTGCTTGAGTCATGGCTCACGGAGCCTCAGTCTGTCAACAATTGCAATGGCATCCCCACCCATACCCCGTGCTGGCGTATAGTTTGGCCAAAATAGCTAACCCCTCGGGGAGCCCGCAGGCCAGTGAGCCAGATGGCCGGGTAATCATCACGCCAGCATCTAATACGGGTGATGAGATTTCAGCAATTAACAACTTGCGTGCCGGCCATCAAGCAATTAGCGCACCGGCGGACAACAATTATTGATGAAGGGGAGAGCGGTTAATTACCGTATGTATTCGGTAGCATAGCGACGGTATCCAATAGATACTGCAACTTCCTGTGCACGAATCACGCGTTTCTCTCACTGTTTCTGATGATGGGTTCAAGTGAGAATCCGAAAAGTCAGGCAATAAAGTCCTTGTTATAGCGATCGCTTCTGCTTCTTATCATCTAGTTCCTGGAACTCGTATCTTCGCTTCTATCGGCAATGGACTAAGTGTGAGACAAAAACGGAGAAATACGTGAAAAACTGCAGCCACGATATTGGAAACGTAGAACTTCTGTGGAAACGACTGTGACCTGACAACTTTTAAAACAATGAGTTAACTTAACACTACATTGAAACAATTTTCATTTATTCGGTAGCTCGTAGCTTCGAATTCTAAGACTGTTTCATGCCCTCCCTTAGAACATGTAGATCAAATCCAGCCCTGGGAATGCGATCAAACAAAATTTTGCCAAGTCCTTTACAAGGTCCTACTGTCGTGGGTGCAGTGCGTAAGGAGACAGAGTGGGACGGAATCTTCAGGCATAAGAAGCAAGTGTCAAGAAGATAAGATTTACATTCGCGAGAGTTAATTAATTCAGTTTGAACAGGGCATTTATCTGCAAGCCAGGTAAGGTGCCTGCCAAAGGAACCACACCCAAGAAACTCCTTTAGAAGTAGATCCCAAGAAACTGGTTCAAATATAAAATATGGTTAGACAAGTTCTTAGGCCTGTGCGCAGTAGGGTTGTCTGAGCTACTGGGGGGCCAACTGAACCTCGAGAGCTACGTCATCCGAGTGACGCCGTCCTGCCTTCGCGCTAAGATAGACTGTCTTACGGCTATCAGAATCTGAGGTTCTATATTAAATGAGGAATATTTTCTGTGGGTTTCAGAAAACCACGTAAGTTTCGCTTTCAAAGTAGTCTTCACAGGCAGAGCTCTGTCTGAATGTCAAATATATTCGAGCCATGGGGGCTTTGCGTATTACAAGAACACGATTGGTTTTCCTTTCATTCTCTGCCTCTCTATGTCCTGGCCTAGTCATGCTACTGAGCCCAGATGGGTGAGGAAACGCGGCAGATGCGGCGAAAGTTCATTACCTCCATAAACAATTTCACGCACAGGTCACTGTTGTGCGCCCACCACGGCGCGGGGCGCACGGTGGCTATCATCGCCTGGGATGGTTGAATTGTCATGTGCGGGTGGTAAAGGATTGCCTCGTTCGCTCGTGGTGTAGCTTTCCATCCGTCGAGTGGTATTTTTAATCATGTCAAATCATGTCTAAAAGATAAATTCTTCACCACTTATGAGACTCCAATGTACCGCTTCCGGTCATCAACCGAAAGCTCCACAGAAGAAGACGTACAAATAGAGTTGGTGTTCAGAAAATGAAGCATACACAATCCAGATACCGCTGACAAATGTAATGGACCTGTGTCGGTCCGCTCCCTTGATCGCCGTCGCTTTGTCGCGCGGTCTTTCTGTCCGCCTTACGCTCCCCGTCGATTTGTTGCTGGGACGGTGTGAGGCTTACCACTAGCCCTGCCAGATCTCGAAGCCAACCAACCCTGCTCCTTCTCTGATTGACTACGAGCGGACACCACTCAGACAGAACTGAGACGCACACACGCGTTGGGATCTAAGGCCCTCAACGACTGATACTGGCACAAGCAACACGCCAAAAGAGACAGCCTGCGGAGCCTCCTGCACACTCTTTCGCGTCAGCAAAGTTTGTCCAGCCAAATTTGTCTTCCCAGACTTGTAACTCGGAATCTTAGTGTTGTCAATCACTGAGAATTCTCGCGTCAGCTCCCCATCTTGAAGAACCCTGTAGGCTTAGCCTTGTTCAAGCACCCCCTACATTCTAGACGCACGCGTGCATACACTCGGGGCACTGCGCAAGACTCATGGATTGGGTAGTTCACGCGAAGTCCTAACGGGGCATTCATGAAAGACAAAGTATCCTTGCATGCGCGAGGCTTCTAAATGTTCCCACATAGAACTTTTGCCGCCATGCAGAGCAAATGTATCGCCGTCTGTTTCTTATTGCTTGAGAATCTAGAGGAGCAGATTGCTACCATTGCACACGAATTCAGGGGATGCAAGTCTAGCCACACCGCCTAGGAGAAAGAGTCACTAGAGACTGCTTTCAACCCTTTATCGGGGACCTCTACCACTTTGGGGAGTCGGCACATCCCGTATCGTTTAAGCCTTAGCCGTTAGAGCGTGCTCATTGCTTTGATTTAAAAACTTACGTTCTTGGCGCTGAGCACTGGCTGAGGAAGATTATTTGTGGCATATTTTGTCGAACCGATCAAGGTGCTTATGACACGTAATCACAGGAGTCCGCTCCGGGTCAGTAGGAGCTAAGGAACTGCCCTCATTCTCAATGGTCGAGGGTCGACCACCTTTCGGGGGAAGTAACCAGTTGAAGGAAGGGATAGCGACGTCAGTCGCGCTAAATGAGCTCCATAAGGTGTAGCAAGAATGGTCTTCTGTTTGACACAATTATTAGGGCACTTCCATAGCCGACTGCTACAGTTGGCGAAATGCTCTGGCTTAAGTTGTCAAAGGTCCTGTAAATTAAACACGGGAAGCAGCATGGCAGTCTGCTGGTCTTATATAATGTTCATTTGGCAACAGGATGGCCATAAGGCGTGCTTGAGTTCGCAGACTTTTAAGTGTTATGACGTGACAGTCATTTTTCCCAGTCACTTGTCCTCCCCCGAATCTGTTGTCTTCTAACCAATACTGAAGACTGATTACGATCAGGGAACTCACACATTAATCAGCCACTCTTTATCAACACAGGACTCTTTCTTGGCTCATAGGCTGTCCAGGCGCTTCACGGTGATCGTCACACAACTTCACGACGGGATGACAGAACGCGCGACGGACGCTGGTTCAATGGTAGAGCGTCCATTGTGATCTAGTATGGTGAAACAGGCTCGAGTTCTTGTCGGAGGCCTCTTCAGACTCACATTCCCCAGATGCAGGCGAACGCCTGCAGGAGGAGGGGCTAGGCTTCAACACGGGCATATACAGGTGATATTGAAGGCTCCTAAAGACAGTACGCATGAACTCCTCTTACCTAACGACACCATAAATGGAATGGACATACAACAAGGTCTGGACCTATTCGCCGCCGGGATGTGCTAACTTCGGTCCAAACACTAACACGCAGAAAAAAATTGCCACGCGCCAACTGGCGCAGCTGTCGAAAACATCAG